TAGACCTTTGTTCTCCTAAGGCTGAAGGTGGTCTGGGAACTAGAGATTGCAAAGAACTATAAGAAGCTTTCAGACTCTAAACTCTGGCGGAACTTTATGCAGAACAGCTGTCTCTGGACAAGGTTCATGAATGCCAAATATCTAAGGGGTGGTGATATGGAGGCCCAACTGATTGAATCCTGTGTATGGAAGAGAATAACAAGGGTAAATCAGAAAGGAGAACTTTTCACAGTGGAAAATGATGATGGAACTAGCTCCTGGACCCTTACAACCAATGGCCAATTCAGCATTTCAACAGCCTATGAGGTATGCAGATCTGTGAAGGAAGAATTAGATCTTACAGTTATATGTGGGGGGCTGGACAGAGCCCTAAGATCAGCATATTCACATGGAAGCTCTTCGGAAGATGCCTCCCAGTCCCGGAAAACCTGATGAAACTGGGGATCAATTTACCTTCCATGTGTCCAACTGTCCATACTGTATGAAGGCATCATTAACTGCAAAACTTTGTTTTATGGATTGCGAAAAGATTATCCCTATTTGGATCCATTTCACAAACATCCTAAGTTTCACCCATAAGCAGCCTAACTCTCTTAATCAACTTTTCATGGATTGGTGGTTGAGGGCCACTCCTAATCTCTATTGCTTTCTACGGTCACACCTTCCCTCTATCATAACATGGCACATTTGGAAGCTCCTATGCACAATTATTTATGGAGATTGGAACAAATTGCATACTGAGGAACTCATTCACAACATCTCTAAGTATGTGAGACAATGGCTTCTAGCCTAAGCTCCAGCAGGTAACGAAGAAATGAAGATTGGCTCATTACCAATAGTCTCAGCCCTATTTTTCACAGCAGGGCCAGAATACGTGCGATCAAATGGCTTGCTCCACCATCAGGCAGGTTAAAACTCAACTTTGATGCTTCTTTCACTAGAACATCCCAGAGAGGTGCAGCTATCCTAAGAGACTCTTGCGGCAAACTCACTAGTGGTGCTTCCTTTCAACTTCAAGCACTATCTCCTTTCCAAGAAGAGGTTGAAGCTTCCACTAAAGGGATGAATTGGGCAACTGATCTCACTAATGATTTCATAGTTGAGCCAGATGCTTGGGAAGTCTACACACTTGCTACCAATTTTATTCCCCACAGGACCTCCCCTTTCCCTATAGATAGTCTAGGACGTCAACTGCTGGATCACAACCTACCGCTCATTCACACTCTTAGAGAAGGAAAAGGACCTGCAGATATTCTTGCTAAGGAAGATAGAAGTAGAGATGAAGATATAATTTTGTATCCTGAATTTTCCATTAGGCAAGACTTTGTACCTTCATTTCGGTTTGATGATCCACAAATCCTTATTTTATTAATATGTTAACTATGAAACTTATTTTATAAATTGACATAAGACCAAGAAACAATTATAGAAATTCAATATCTCAAATCATCAATAATGAATCGTCATACCTGACTTAACAATGAAATAATGAAACATAAGAAGTTAGTGCCACATAAAATCCCATTACGAACAAAGGAAACAAACCTACTTTCTACGCAAGTCTGCAGTAGCTCGGCGAATATCTATGATGGAAGAAGTGAGAGAAGACGGTAAAATCCCCAGTTCGATGCGCCATCGTACCCCTCTAAGATAATCGAAACAGAGGGTCATTTGAGGAGATTGGTGAAGAGAGGAAGACGACGCCGTAAAAAACAATGTCGGCTCAATCGGAACCGGCGACATAACCTTTTTGTTTTCCGTTTTTTAGGCACCTGAATATTGAGCCTCAGCACTTGCTCATAAAAACACCAATCATGGACCAAATAACCAACAAGCCTATCTAATGACAAATTCTCATGCTGGCAAAAGATTTAAAAAAAACAAATAAAAAGAAAAGGATGAACCCTATTGGGTGGAATGCGATTGATTTTTTTTAAAATTAATTGTGCCAAATTTTTTGGTGAGGCTAACTCTATTTTAAGATTTGAGTAAGACTATTTTCTTTTAGCTTTAGAGTTGGATGTTGGAAAAAAGTTGAATGAATTAAAAAATGTTGGAAAAATTAAAGTGTTAAAAATCATTCAATAAAATGATTATCTAAATAAATATGTAAGAAAATTCTAATTTTATATTTAAAAAAATAAATCATTATCCGTGTTGGAGATTGTATGTTATAAATCGGGATATATAATTGTCATTTATATTAATCATATATAAATACTTCTTTAATTCATTGTTGGAAGAAATTAGAATAAGTTGGTAGAAACTTGAAGGGATGAAAAACACTGAAAGGAGTTGGAAAAAATTGGAAGTTAATTTTTTTAGTCCAAAAGAACAAGGCCCAAATAAAGGAAAAACATAGAAAAAATAGAAACATTAGAGTTTCATGTTTTTATCTCCAAAATAAGAGTATGCATTATAATAACGTGGCACTGTATATTGACATTTAATAATAGATTTTGATAGTTTAGTCTTTTTTCCTTGTATTTTCTATGCTTGGAAATTTGAGTTTATATTACAAATTGGAATGTGATTCAAATTTTATGCTTGAAAGTCTTAAAAATATAAATCTAGGAAGGTGTATTATTCAACATAGACTCTACAAGATTTTTATGAATTTTAAAATTTCATGGATATTCGATTAATATTTATAAAAGTATTTAATATATTACCTTGTCATTTTAAATTCAAGAATTCAAATGTTATACTTAAAATACATTGAACAAAAGGTTATACGTTCATTCTAAATGTAAACATCTGCTATTGAACCCTCCGGTTGTGCCCTATTATGTACGAGGCCTTTAAGGAATGCAAGAAACATATGAGGACCATGAATAAATATTAGAGAACAACTATATACTTGACTAATCATAAAAGAAGAGTAACTACTTTAACATTTCTATCAGGTGCATCCATATATAATAAAAGGGACCTCCAAACTTTGTTTCATCAAGCAAGTTAACAATTAAGTAAGGGAAAAACCAAAATAGCACTTTTATAGCCTTAAAATACTCTAAATAGCAGTGTTATATGTTTCGTACTTGTGATTTCAATTTTGTCCTTTAATTAAACAACAAATATTCATTACACATTGCCAAAAAAATATGACTGTTTTGGGTAGTGTGGTTGTTCACTTGTAACTATGTAGTGGGCAGTGTGATTTTTTATATGTGAGTATTTTGATGTGGCAGTGTAGAATGAATATATGTTGTTCGTTATATCTTACGACAGTGTGTAAGTGTATTATTGTGTTCCTTAATTTCATGTTGGAGTGTAATGTCCATTGACTTATGTTATGTGGCAGTGCTTTCATGTATAAATTCTATAGTGTCAAAAAGTGTATGGTTGTTTTCATGTATAAATTCTACACTGTCCAAAAATGTATAGCTCTTTTTATGTATGGATTACACTCTTTTCATATATGAATTCCACACTGCCAAAATGTGTATCACTATTTTCAGGTGTGATTTCTAGACTACCCAAAAATGTATGGCTGTTTCCATGAATAATCTATTACAGCAAAACACATTAGCCAAACATGGGCGTTTAATATGGAACTTAATTTAATACGTACGAACTTGTTTAGGCATTATACATTGGTAAACTGTGTAGGAAGAGGATCTTGCAGAGCCATGATAAACGGCGTGGGATGATATTCTTGCACGTATGAGCGAGCCCCACGTATGAGGAGAAGTGGCTACGTGAATAACCTAAGTTTAATCAAATAATTAAAAGTAATTAAAAGTAGTAGAATATAATAAAATGTAGAGGGCATGTTTGGAAGATATTATCATTATAAAGAGCTAAAATCGTATAAAAGATCAAGGAGTGCTATATGCGTAATATTAACTGACTTAGAGTGCTACGTAGGGTGATTTCTTATTGAGTAAACCATAATGGTGAAGAAATGAGGAGGAAATATTTTCTCCTTTTTACCCAATGTTATGACAACATTGGCACAAATTTCATCCAATTTCACAACTGACAACTCCTTCGCACATAATTCCTTAAAAAATCTGATAATTCACTCATAACTTCCATAACATCAGTATCTTTGGCCCTTAGACCAATCAGGAGAAAATTATGAATCAAAATGTGGCAATCATGACTTTTCAAATTAAATAGTTTGCACTCTTTCAAATTAACACATCGAGATATGTTGCCTACAAATCCATCTAGCTATTTAACTATATGTATTGTTAGCTTCTTTTATGCCCATAATTTGTAAATAATGCACTGCTGCCTACTCAAATTCACTATCTTATTTTAAACCTTTAGTATATGCAGATGCATTACGTAAGTTTGTAAAACTTCTTGCAATGAATATAAGTAACTCTAATAATTCTCTCTGATTTGAGGTTAAATCCTTAGTTGCAAGAAAAGTCATGAAGTGTAGAAGTGAGAATTTTAGCCGAACCGACGGTGTAACCGATTGGAAAAAACTAAACCAACCGAAATTTTGGTTTTGGTTTTGGGTTCGGCTAGTAGATCGCAAAAACAATCAGTTACTTCGGTTAGTCGGTCAGTTTTTAGTTTTGGACTTAAATAATTAAAACTTACCAAAAAACTGAATTCAAACCATTATAGCATAATTCATTTAGATGCCCAACCCAAAACTAATTAACCCAATTCATTGATCCATTGCAAATGAAATTAATATACGGAGATTGCAATGCAAAAAAGTCACAATCGTGGAACCCTATCCGGCTTTATTCTCTTACTTTCTCAAATCCTCACAGCCTCATGGAGTTATCCCTCCCGCTGCGAGTCTGAGGCCAACAACTTCCATGGGACGAGGGTATCATCAGTGATGTACTTCCCATTTCTAGATTTTCAACTTTTCTTTTTATTAATTATTATGTTTCTGGTATTTCATCAAAATATCTTTTTTTATGTAATGTTAGGTTGTACAGTACTAAACTTTCTCAACCAATTAATGTTTCTCCATGTGAAGCTTCTTTTAAATTAAAAAACTCAAGTGTTTATTACAATTTTCGTTGAGCAATTTCCCTATTTCATTTGCATTTTAATGTTTTGTGCATTTCTGTTTTATATAACTGACCGAAACCATTCAGTTTTAGCTATTTCGCTTTGTTCAGTTTTTCCATATATCGGTTCGGTTTTAATCGGTTATCATAGATTGAGAAAAAGTTTGGTCTTTTTGGTTATTATGGTGATCCAACCTCGAATCCAATGATAAGCGCGGACTGATCCAGCACGCGAACCACATGTTATATGGGTGTTGATCCAACCCCATGAGCGAAGGAGAGTCTAGGACTGACTCAAGTACTAGTATTACGAAAGTAGGAGTATAAACCCGTTGGATGCTCGTCGCGCTTCTCTTCCATGAAGTGCTCGGGCACGTACTCCTTGCGGAAGAGCTCGTCGAAGGTTGCCCACGGCACCGGCTCTGGGACGTTTGCTCCCACGCGTTTCCACCAGTCGTAGGCGGCATCCTGAAGCACAGCGATGGCTAAGTCGCCTCTCTGCTCTGCTGGAACCCGTAAGGTCCCGAGTACTCGACTCACGCGCTCGAGCCTGTGCTTCGCGACCATGGGTTCCGCGATCTGGTCGCCACGGAACTCCTTGGCTCCGTTCTTCTTCAGCTTCTCAATCGTGACCACAACCACAGGAGGCGGCGGCGGCGGTGGTGGTACGTACGCCCCAGCCATCTGCTGGAGAAACTGAAGCATGTTGGCCGCCATCTGCGACTACAGAAAAGGAACCGCCTGTGGTACGGCATTTGGTTGCAAAACCTGCAGCTCCGGAACTTTCTGCTGCAGTGTGAAGGTAGACGCCTCGGTATGCACACTCACGTGCTCCTGTTCTCCCTGAGGACCAACTTGTCCATGCTCGGGAGCTTGACTCATCTCCTTTCTGAAAGGAGATTTCCTATCAGGTTCAGTAATAATAATAATAATAATAATAATAATAATAATAATAATAATAATAATAATAATAATAATAACTTAGATGATAACAGTTACCTTTCCTAGTGGAGATACAAAGCGGGATGCGACAGTGGATCTTGGAGAAATTTTTTTTTCAAAAATAGGTTTCATTTTTCTTTTAGAGCCATAACTCTCTAATACCAAAATGTAACACCCTCCGTCCCGCGAACCCGGTTCACCACGGCCCAACGAGCCGAAGAGGTTACGTAGACGGATTTAAGGTCGTCTACAAGGTAAACCCTTGCGTTGCTTGTAACGGAAAACCCATTGATATATTTTATTAAATGATGAGAATAAATTCAATTTAAGGAAATGTTTCGTAGAGAAAGTAATTGTGAACAGTAAACGTTAAGTCTTAAATAAGAAGTACAACAAAGGTGGGTTCAAGCCCAAAACGCTTTCATAATTAAATAAATAATGAATTTAGGCCGCACTGTCGTTCATCTGCTGCCCCGATCACCCAATCATCCGGGTCAGGCTCCATGATCCTCTGGCCTACCTGCGTTTAGCAAAGGAAACCAACGCTATACGCTCAGCAAAAGCTGAGTGGTAATCTAACAGTAGAACTCATAGTACATTCACATTGATATAAACATAATCGTACTTGTACTAAAGTACGAGATACCACAGGCAAGTTTGATAAATAATAGGTTGTGAATTACAGTGATGCAATGCCACATAATCATGATGCATGAGTTAGACTGCGCAGGGACTCCTTCCCTTCGGTGATCATCCCCACGCGGTAGATGAGCCGAGGAACGCCTTAGTCATCCTGATGGAGACTAGAATGTGGGTGATAGCTAAGCCTAGCTACCATGTACGTACAGAAGCCCTTGTGATGAAAACCCGTTGGACCCCGCAGGTTCCTAGACGGGCCCGCGGAAGAGGCGCACTGGGCCTGACCTCTTGTCGCGGTATGCAAAGTATGCCATGATCCTAAACATGCGTCTAGGATATACATGATGATATGGATGCATTAATTACAAAATGAAGTTGAGTTCAACGCACACATAGATGCTTGATTCCGCATGAAATCAATTTGTTTAACGTGGAGACTTTGGGTTCAGAACTGGCTGATAATCGATTACCCATTGTTGATAATCGATTATCATGCTGTGGAGCTTCTGTTCCCAAAGTTCCGCAGGGCATGATAATCGATTGTCACCTCATGACAATCGATTGACAGATGGTTTTGTCCAAGAAACCCAAGTTTATAAAGGCCTGATAATCGATTATTGCTTCTGTGATAATCGATTATCAGATTAACCAGCTCTGACTCAGGAATCCGCAAGGCCCGATAATCGATTATCACCCTTGTGATAATCGATTGTCACACCTTGCTTATTTAACGAGGAGTCCACCATAGCCTGTTAATCGATTATCATGACCTCTAAATAGATTATCATGGCTCGCAGGTTCTCGTTTTGTCTGGTTGATTACAATCAATACATTGGTAGTTTTAGAAATGAACGTTTACATTTCCAGGTTAAATAATCAGTAAAATTCCAAGGTTTCACACGTTTATTTTATCAAATGCATAATCGAAAGGTCTAACTAACGAAGAGTCATGATAACGTGGATACACGCAGGTTTAGCCAGGTAATCCTATGATTATAACAATATGATTATACTAAGAATTCTAAAGTAAGAGGGCAACGTACTCACCTCTAAACGAAGAGATTGACGATACGGAGACAGATGAATGAACGGCTAACGAACGGCCGGCGATGGATAACGAAAAGACGAACCTCCTCCGTGGTCTTCCTTCTCTTCTACCTCCCGTCTTTTCGCCGAAATCCACTCCGTGCCTGTTTGTTGCCTTGGCCGAACAGAGAAAAGGGAGAGGGAGAGAGTGTTGAGAGCTTGGTTGGGGGTTACAAATGGGTGAGGGAAAATGAATGGAAAAGGAGTTTTAAATTGAGGAAGTGAATGGGGGATTAAAGGGGAAATTGATTGTGGATTTAATGGGGTTTAATGTGTGTGTGTCGTGGGAAAGAAATGGGGAGTTATCTCCCATTGATTTACTCTGTTGTGTAAAATCTGACCTGAATGGTACGCGCTTTTCCCCCCAACGGGTCCAAATTGAGATCCGTTTGCATTTCTGGAATCAGACAGTCAAAACAAATTTATGACGTGATCAAATAATTTTTTCTAAGGATTTTATTTTCCCAACCCCGGTCCGAGTTAGTAATTATTTAATTAAATTAATCAATTCTAATAGATAAATGGTGATCCACCTCTGCCAGAAACGCTCCATTTTGTGAACTGCATGATATTAAACCTGTGTGCATGATATCATGTTATGATTATGATATACTGGATTCACCTATGTCCATGTTCGAACTATTGGATATTGTCTCACTCAGCTTTGTTGCTTAGCGTGTAGCCTCTTTTTCCCCTTGTTACACGTAGGTAATCATGGAAGAGCTGACCTTGGAATACATCCTGGAGGGCAGCATGACGGAGGAGATGTATGGATGCAAGGGTTTAAGAATGTTTGGTAAAATTATAAAGCTTCCTCACCGATTGTATAAACTCCGAAATGTATTTAAATGGTTTTGAATTGTTTAGTTTAAAATCAAATGTTTTTATTTCTTGAAACATATTGTGTATGGGTATCAATTTAGTAGCAACCCGGTTCTTTAACCTATTTATTCGGGTTACGCAGGTTGGGGTGTTACACACATGATGGCTGTAGTAGAAAAAGGTGATGAAGAAGGCATCTGGACATGGTCAGTTGGGGCCCTCGTCGCAATGGTGGAACCTTTAATGGAGATCTAGTACGAGTGGTCACAAGGGGCTGCCCGCCTGGTGAGATGACGTCATCCGTACCCTCAGGGGGTGATCCTCTTGGGACATCCAGGCTGCATTGTCCATCCGGGACGCTGGGTTGTTATCCCTAGTGGGTGCACCCGATGGAGGATGGACTAGAACTACCTCTGGGACATTGGGGGTAGAAATATTTGCAGCTGCCCGAGAAACTGACTTAAAGGGGGAACCTTTTCGCCTCTTGGGTTGGGACAACGCAGAAATGTCTAGATGATTGTGATTCTATGTGGTGGCTGGTTTCTGGAAGACCATAACATGGGGTGATACATCTGGAGCCGAGGAAAATGCGTCGATGGACTCGGGATCATCAGGAGGATTAGCAGGCTTGACCGTGGGATTTCCAGCGTTAAAGGATGAGGGTTCATTTTTTCTTAGGAGAAGTAAGATCCTGAGAGCCGCTGGCACCAGATTCAGGGGAGATAACTTGGGCAGAATCAGATGAGATAAGGGGATGATTGCCCAAGAAGTAAAATCCAACTTGCCGGAAGAATTTAGGATTCTGTAGGCACTCATGATCGATGAGGCCGGTATCCTTCATCTCTTCGAAGGCCTTCTCTGCCTGGGAACCCTTAGAGAAGGGGGTCCGGCAAAGTTTGATCTTACGGGGCTTAGTTGGTAAGTCGAAAGGCAGATCGGTAGGAGCTTCAATCACAGAGAACTTGTCCTCGCAACCTTTAATACGCATTTCCACTTTTGTGAAGAGGACGTATTTCTGATTGGGGTAAAGGCTGAAAAAAGGTGAATCGCCCCCGGGGCTGAAGAAGTGCATGAAATCTCTCGCAGAAGGGGTCCTAAGCTTCTCGCGGCAGTGCAGAATGTAAGACGCTAGGTACTTGTGTGCATTGGCCGTAAATTGCTCAGGGAGAAGATCCCAATTTCTGCACACTTCGTGAATAAATAAGTAAAGAGGAAGCCTGAAGCCGTGAAGAACCGAATCGTAGTGCATCACCAGAAAACGTTCTAGCGCCAGATTGTGGGTAAACGAAATCCCACCAACGCATCCAGATGATGGATTTTGATGGGCGCTCCCAAGAGATCACGCATGAGAGCGAGTTCAAAGCTCTTGATCTTGGAGGGGCCGAGTTCTAGGTGAGCAATTTCAGCAGATAGAACCATAATGCGGGAGACCTTCGTGAGAAATTAAAGAATTCACAGACAAAATTGGGTTTGATACCCTGAATCATTTTGTTGAAAATGTATGATTGATGAATAATGTTTAGGTTGTTAAAACCTGTAACACCGAAGAAAGCATGACGCATCCAAAGATGTTGTGAGGCAACAACTTCTAACATGATTGTGGGATGTCCGTGATACTCACATGCAAATTGACTTCACCACGCGTTAGGGCAATTAAGGCATACCAGTGCATACAATCAATACTGCCAAGCATGCTGGGAAACCCAGGTCTCGCTTCGTGGGTGGGAAACAAATTTTGAATGTCTTTTTGAGTTGGTCTCCGTAAATATTGCTTGTTGTATATCTTGATGACCTATTTGGCAAACATATACAAGCATTCAAGGGACGTTCTCGCTAACATCCTAAGAAAATCATCAAGTGCGTCAGCACATGTGCCGTATGCCAGAAGTCGAACCGCCACGAGACAGTTTTGTAAGGTATTAAAACCAACCTTGTATCTGGAATCCGATTGTAGAGTAAAACAAGGATATACATGGACCAAATCATTGGTAATACGGAGGAAAAGAAGGTGACTAATACGAAAGCGACACATAAATTGTTTGTCAGTGTAGACCGAATTTTCCGCAAAGTATTTGACCACAAGTTGATCATGAACACCTTTATGATCTCGTGGCAACTGTTTATCTCTTCTTTTCGGCTGCGACATATTTCCAATTTCTGCATGTTGGGATCGGAGAAAACTTGTCGCGTCCACAATCACGTTTATAAACAACATTTTGACTTCATCTGAAAAAGAAGAAGAAGAAGTTGGCATCGTATAGTAAGGTGACAACATCATGGCAAGACCAGAATAATACTTCCTCCATTCGAAATTAATTTATCAATTTACTATTCACAAAGTCAAACTTTATTCACTTTCTTTCTCTATTTTCATTAGTGATTTGATAAAATAATGGGCATGTCACCTCCTGTTTGTAGAATTTTTATGTAGTTTTAAATATGTAATTTTTATTTTTAATTTATTTCGAACTTTCAAATAAATTTTCTTAAAAATAACTTCGATCAAACATTGTAAACTAAAACAGACTACTTAAATTGGGACGGATAGAGTATACGAATAAGAATAGAGGAAAGAAAAATAGAATAATAGAATGGATTTTTTCTTTGAGAATGAAGGTAAGGAATGGAGTAGAAAGTGAAGTAGGTGTTTAAAATGGTGAGCAGGGTGAGGTGTTTAAATAGTTGATTTTTTTATTTTTATGTTTTTTAAAGGCTGGAATTAAAAATTGACCATTAAAATTAGGCCAAATAGCTCCAATGCCCCCTGTAGTTTGAAAATTGGCACCAATACCCCCTATGTTTTCAAAATTTATTTCTAAAGTCCTTGTAGTTTCAAAACGTTGCACTCACACCCCTGTGATCAAATTCCGGTCACTTTCTGGTGAAGAGGAGGCATTGGTGCCTTTTTTCTAACTAGATGGTGACCCTATTTTATATTCTCGCTCAGACGGGGATGATCATACTTTCAACCATTCTAAACAAGAAGTTGATGAATTTAATAATCTTAGGAAATCCTGTAATGCATATGCGGAGAACAAGAACACTCAGGTACACAACAATCATTCGGCAGAATACTTTCTCCAAATTATAATCATGAAACGTTAGTTAAGTATATGCACACTAAAGTTTTCCTTATCAACATTTTCCAACATTTGATAATTAACATCTCTATTAGTTCTAAAAGATTAAAAAAATAATTCAATCTTCACACCCCCCCTGCCAACATTGCTACAAAATGTGATCAGATTGAATCGTTTGAGTGGAGTGTGAAAGTGCAAGCTATGATGTTCAGAGCTCTTACAATCATTTATATTCAAACCCCAGCTCAGACTTGAGTTGCTTCTTAGTCATTTTCCTTTGGCTGTTCCTGAGCTTTCTGTAATAGTATTTTATTTGGAACAAGAACTATGAACATGTTCCTGTCTTTGAAATTCTTGCCCTCCAAAGTAGCAAGCTGTGATACAAGTAAACAGATATAGTAAGAGGGAACTAAAGGAGTTAGTTCTCTTCTCAAAGTGTAATTACCACAAGAATGAGGAATACAAAGATATTTGCCAACACATGCAAAAAGAGTACATCCTAAGGTTACCTTCAACAATCTAACATACACTCCCTCCCTCCCTCCCTAAAAGGTTATCACACTGCCCTATTCCAAATTCACAGAAGCTTTTGTTTATTTGTGCGCTTTTATTGATTATTGGATAAAATAAAATATTCTTGTCATCTTTTTTTGTAGAACTTTTAATGTAGTTTTTCAATATGCAAGTTTTATTTTTTATTTGTATACCAATCTTTAAATAAAATGAATTGAAAAAACTTCAAGGGGTAAATGTGTACACTTGTAACAAATTGGGTGGATTTAGCCAAAATAGGGGTGGTTTTAGCAACTCCCATTATGACTAAATCCACTCCATTTATTTAGATGCACTACTTTGCCCTTAAAAGTTCGTTTGCATTTAAATTCTCTCTTTTGTATTTTAAGGATAAAATTGTCAATAAAGCTTAAATGAAGTGGATTAGGACAAAATTGGGGTAGATATTGCAAAACCCTTATGATTACTACTGTTATTATTACTATTAATATTATCACTAAAAGAAAATTACTTACCAAATATTACTACAACAAGGTTATTTAGACAGCCAAACAGGATCCTAGGGGGCAGGGATGAGGGTTAGAGGTACGAACCATCAATTTTTCAAAAGGAGTACCGTAGGAGGCCAGTGTCATAATATGACACCAATTGGTGGTGCCATTTTAATTACTACTATTAGTAACTGATCATAGTTTCCTATTAGCATTTGTTATATATGGGGTGGTGCTCTCACTGGCCGTAATATAATAAATTTCCAACCTCAAGCAGGGAAGGATCAATATCTTTTTCTACGTTCTCTAATACGTTTGAAACATAAACCTCATTTTTAGAGCTTCACACCTAAAATTTGTATCTACACCTCGATTTTGGGGACCGAAAACGCATTGGTGTGACTCTCTCCTTATTCTATGGATCAACAACAGCATTACCCCAGTGCCTCAACGGCTCCCGCCCATTGCGAGGTAAGGAGGATCGGATGTACGCAGTCCGACCCCTATGTTTAAAACATAGAGCGGCTGTTTCCAGATGACCAATTATGAACGTCGAAAATTGCATTGACCAACTGCTACTTCACAATGACAAGAAGCACAGACAGTTTAGAGAACCAATTTGCTTTATTCCATCATACCCCAAAGCCAAAAAATAGTGAATCTTTGGCTCCACATGGGAATGGAAATGCCTTATTCTATGGATCACTTTCCTCATATCTATGTTATAATGATGCAGTGAAACTGCAAGAGAATAGAACCTTTCAACATCAGTAGCATATTTTATGTAAGAATGAAGCAGCGAACAGACCTCTCCAACATCAATTTGAAATTGTTTGAGCAATTCAACCGCCTTAGCTCTGAACTCATTCTCACGACCCTTTAAATTCACAATAACTTTCACCTGGAAAAATATAGCATTCGTTTAGTAACAGAAATACTTCTGCTAATATATGTACAGGGCATGTGAACTGGTATATGCATGGCATCTCAAATAGCAATCAACCTTATCACCATCTTTTAGAAACTTCTGTGCAGCTTTCAAGCGCACAGAATAATCATGCACATCGATATTGTATCTGCAAATAATGTGTTAAAGAAATATGCATTATGATTTACTCAAGAAGTTCAAACTGACTTGGCAAGTTTTATCTGCCTGATTGTATCTCCATAAGATATAATAAAATTAGAAAGAATGATTAAAAAATTAAAAAATTTCATAATGTGAAAAGCATGCACAATTAAAAGTAGAATCTCTATTATTGATATTGTTTCAATGGTCGAATGAGATCAGGGTAAACAAGTTCTAGATTTTTTCTTATACTGCATCAATGTACTCATATGCACGGAGTATTAAAATCGATTATTGAGTTAATCTTTAAAATGGATGGTAATCATAAGCCAGTAGTCGGTATTGTTGTAGGAGTAGGATTAGAAAAAATAACAAAAGCATTATAGGCTACGTTCTATTCGCGTGAACTGAGTTTTTAAGGTCTGGACTAATCTATCTCAATGGATCTAATCTGATCTGATTCAAATTAACATTAATATTATTACTACCTCCATCCTGGAGTATTTTCAGTTTTGACAAGCGTTGACTACTAATTAAATAAAATTGATGTTAGATAATGATGGATCTATTTTATAAAATACATTCAAAAACTTGTTATGTCGAATTAATAGATCACATATTTCTTATTTAATTCAAGGTCAAGGTTGAAAATGGTTGACTGCAAAAACTAAAAACTTGACAAATACTTAAGGGTAGAGGCATTATAATAATTTTATTATTTTTTAACATTATGATAATGATCATTCGTATAATTATTAATGAATTTATCATTATATAATAGAACATCCCATTTGGATCCCACGAGAGTAAGATCTCAGGAAGGTGTGTATGCAAACCTTGCCCCTAGGGCTGAGAGCAACGCCAGTTTCTGTCGGTTTTGGTTTCAAACCAAAAAAACCGAGTTTTTAAAAGATGGTTGAAAACCGACCGAATCGAACCGATCATAAGCTAAAAACGAGGAAACCAAATCCGAAAACAGCCCGTATAGAAAAAAAACCGACCGAAAAACCGAATTTTAATTACTTTTGTTTTGACTCTTTAATATAATATCAACAAATTAATTCGAAATGATAGATTAATATGTATTAAATTACTTTAGATTAACGCTTTTCTATTGTCTTGAATTTAGTAAGGTAGAATAATTTTTATTTGAATATACATTGTCCATTTCGTACAAAAAACAATTACACTTTTCTTATTAATATGTTCAAAACATTAACAAATAATTTTTTTAAAAGTGAAACAACAAAGTTCTTCATGAAAATTAAGAAGAAAGCATGTGGGTTAATCAAATATTTTCTTATTCCAAAAAATAAATAAATAAATTAAAATAAAATCATCGGTTATTCGGTTGGTTCGATTTTTTCTTACAAATAACCGAAAACCGACTGAAAAACCGAGAATGCTTTTTAAATGAAAACCAAAACCGAAATCAAACTTTCGGTTAATTGGGTTTTCGGTCAATGGTTTCGCGGTCAGTACGGAAAAAATGCTCACCCCTACTTGAAAGTGTTTTTAGCCAACTATCTTAATCCTAACTTTCCAAATGCTCTTATCTAAGGTTATTTCAACAATAAGAGCAAGAAGTCAAAAGTCTTGTCTAATCACATCCTTCCCATTCTTCCTAAGTCTATCCCTTCCCTTACGTCACCCACTAATGTAAGCCTCTTGCATCTTCCACCCACCAACGTAAGCCTCTTGCATCTCCCACCCACCAACGTAAGCCTCTCACATCTCCCATTCACCAAATAGAGTCTACCTCTTCCCTTTCTCCAGTACTAGAACCAAGATGCCAAGACTTGTCTACCTTGGGAATTAGGTAAGAATCAATTCTAACTTCCACCCCTGACTCCGTCTCTCGACTACTAAAACGACATTCTATTATTCAATCTTGGTACTTAGTCTGAATCCTTTAGATTTTAGGGAAAGTCACCGAAGTTCTAACTTGTCGTTTAGTCCCTTGCAGGGGTCTTTGATAAGTACAATATCGTCAGCAAAAACCATGCACCACGGACCCTCCCCTTGAACTTGGACTCCCTGCATCAAGACATCCATCACCAGAGTGAACGAAAACGGGCTAAGGACAGACCCTTAGTGTAACCACACCTCTATAAAGAACGGCTCAGATTCGACAGTCTATACGCAAGTCCTTGTGCCCTGCTATACATATCTCTGACTACACGGATGTATTCACGAATATATGTTACATTTACACCCAATGTAATATATTCTAGATTTATTTTCTTTATGAAACAAAAAATTCAATTTAATAATACATGGAAATGTAGAAGAAGAAAATCATTGACAATAAACAATCATTGGAAATAAAGATGTTATGTTATAAAAATGATAACATTTATATAATCCATGCTAATCGTGTTAGAAAAGTAGATATTGTGCTAATTGTGTTAGAGATCATGCTAGCATAATCTTTTATTTGTAGATGTTTGTTCCCTTCTAACACGATTTAAACACTTTTTAATTTTAATTTTTTTTCAATACCATTTCTACACTTTTTTTAATCTTTGTGAAGACTGAAGACAAATGAGCAATTTTTTATAAGATGGAGAGAGTATTATTATTAAAATCACTTCTCTTATTATTATTATTATTATTAAAATGATAATAATAGTACAAGTGTTGTTGGAATACATCTTCACTTTGAGATTTTGCTAATGCCAACGTTTATTCTATGTAGGTTTTGATATTGACAAACCGCCAAGCACTTAAATTCTTCAAAGTCTTGGCTCAAAAAAAATATTCTTCATGCATTCACATTTCTAAAACTGATTTTTAAACCCTCAAAATGATTTTGACACTTTGGTTTTTGACTTAAAATGAAAACCACACCCAACTTTATGATAGCCAGGCAAACATTGAATATTTCTTAGATATTCACTGTTTTGCCTTGACCATGGTTTTTGGTAGGCTGTTTCACCTTGGGGTTTGGCTACTTTAGCCAACTTGGTTTTTGGCATTGATTTTCAACTTAGGCTGACCAACCTCAAAACATCAGTTATCTAGTAGATATTCACTGTTCTTGACGGCTTGACCAATCCTGGTTTCTTGATTTTCAAAGATTGGTTTTTGAATTCAAACATGATTTTAAACTTGGTTTTAAAAAAAGAGAATCTACCCAACAAGCCCAAAATTTGAAAACTTGGGAGATATTCGATGTTGTTTGACCAAACCTTGGTTTCTGGTTTTCAAAACATGGATTGACCAAACCCAATTTGACCCAACCCGGCCCGGCCCCATCCAACCCAAATTTCATTAAATTTTAAAAATACTCTGTAAAAGCATCGTCTCCCTCATTCACTTAACACATCGTCCTTCACGACTTCTCTCTCTCTTGCCAAAGCCCATCTTCCATGATAGATTCTTTTGGAATCGTTTCTTCATCTTCATCAATTCTTCTCCATCATCCTCCATGGGTAAGATCTCTTTATCTTTAACTTCTTTTTGTGCTTGCTATCTTTGTTGGTACTTGTGTGTTGTTTTTGAAGATTGAAGGGTATCTGTTTCTTAAGTACCCTTCATTATGTGACTTTATGTGCTACCTTTCAACATAATTTTGTTTTGGTAATGATATTTCGTCACACACACAGATATATATATATATATATATATATATATATATATATATATATATATATATATATATTAAAATCTTCAATAGTAATTGTTGTGATTTGTTGACTAGTCTACGACTAGTAGGCCGACTTGTCCACTAGTCTCCTCTTCATCGACTCGACTCGGCTTGTCGCCTTGATAACCCATCTTCTCGACTAATCTGATCAGAACTAAATCTGAATAGATTTGATTGATCCGAACTGATTTTAATAAACAATAACAATAAGTAATAAGCAGAAATAATAAGTTGAACGGAACGCAATCCATATCATCTAAACTCACTATGGGTGTTCAAAGTTGGGTGTGAACACCCTTGATTCCATAATTGGAGTCCGCCAATTCTGTTCAAGTTCAGCATATTACAACTTTTCCCATGTTAACACCATTACGCGATTTCATGAAGAACCCTTGTGAAGTCCTCAAATTTTAAATTAAACCAAGAAAGATTTGACCCCATCATATAAGGATTTTCTACTTCAGTATACTAATTGAAGTACAAGTGTATAAAACATAATGCTCTTTAAATATCATTCAATTCTTGTTCCATTATTCAAATATGTTGTTTTTTAGTAGAGATATATTGTTTAATAAGTCTTGAAGTTATCGAAAATGCCGCACATCTAGTAATTTTTCCCCCCTTCCTTCAAACCCGCATTAGCAACACCAATTAACTCCTTACCATGAGATGATTGCAGAACGGTTGCAAAAATTAGGAAACAAACCTACTGGCATGTGCTACTTTGGTTGTTTTGGTAATGATGATGGTTGTTTATTCTTTATATTTTATAAGGACACAATATTAGGCATATTAATAAGCAAGTTTAGTTGCCTATCGGGCACCAAACTAAACTAGTTTTGAGTCCAGACCTAGTCTGCACCTAGGTGCCATACAATTATAGAATATCTTTTCAGAGTATATAAAACTTTATACATTTATACACCCTCTACCCCCTTCTAATGTTACCCATAAGATTTGGCATAGAGTTTAATAAAATTAAATTGTGTAGTTGAGATTTATCTAGAAAGAGAACAATCGATATGAATCACGCAATTCTTTTCTTAAAAAAGAAAATAGGAACTTACAGAGGGACAACCGAACAACCCAAAAAAATTTGGGGAAATATAAAAAGGGAGCAGAGAAAATTGTAAATTATGTCTACTAAAGTATTTGTACAAATAATTCAAACAATCCGAGTTCTTATTAATGAAATGCTAGTTAAAGGCAACTAGGAGTGCTTGAAACAGCTAAGGAGCGCCTATAATTATTTGGAAGGTACCTAAAAGGCACCCCAAGAGTAAGCACCTACTGGCCAAGTGCCTAAAGTCAGTGATTTTATACAATTGGCTTTGGCCAAGGCAGCCAATCATACACCATGCAGGCATGCTAGTGAACTGCTTTCAATGTCAAAGAACGTAATACAGAACATCTATTGAACCAATCAATGAATTTTAATGGTTGGAGTTGGCCTAGGTGCACCCTCCATTTGAACTTCAAAGAGTCCTAGTGTATATGTAATAATATGTGGAAATGCATGGGCTAAGGTGCAACTGTCAATGGATTTGTGTGTTTAGCAAGAACAATCTAATAAAAGAACCCAAAGCAACAAAAACCAATGGCAATAAGGAATAATGAGTATAACAATTCTAAAGAATAGTGAGAGAGGTCAGAGGAGCTTACCCCATTTTCAATTCCTTCAAATCCATGCGGTTGGCTGTCACTCAAATGAATGCTTTGGTCAGATAAGACTTTTTTTCTTGGGGGAAAAGATACCACCCCCCCCCCGGTCCCGAAATAAGGTTTCACAATGGAATCGATTATTAATAAAGATGAAAGTCTGTGGTTGAATTGTGCAGAGGAGAGAAATTGTGTGAACCACACAATTTCATCCTCAAAGGGAAAGAGGAACCTTTTCCTTTTGAGGAAGGAACTATGTGGTTCAAGCAAATTTTGTGACAAACAAAAAGATAATATAGAACCTTTACTTGGGACGGAGGGACTAATATTCTCCTTGCCTTTTCTATTTAATTTAATTATAAATTACATGAAAATAAATGATGTTTACCAGCATTTTTCTTTTGCTGGTCCTTTTTCTTCTTTTGCAGTTCATATCTGTATTTACTACATACAAGGAAAGCAGAATAATTTTAATCGTGAACTGAACACTTAACCGTATTGGAAGCATAGGTTAATGCTTTTTTATTTTCATGACTCACAAATGTCACAAATGCCAACTACTAGGACATTTCGAATGTTAACTACATGCAAATCCCATAGTCTATAAGAGAGAATGGAATGACAAATGTAGCGAATTAGATCGCACATGTAACTTTCAGATAAAAGCAAAAACAATTGGAAAGAGAAGCTCTTACTTGTAATCCATTATTCTTACAACGGGAGGGTCTGCTTCTGGAGATAAAATAACCTACCAAATTGTAATCGCAGGCAATAAAAAAGTTATGTTACTCATGGGTGATAGGTGAGGAGTTTTAAAAAGGATAGAATATGTTACATACTTAAATAAATTTTGGCTTATTTACAATGTAGATGCCCTAACTACTAGTGTTGTAACAAAAAGGTACCCCGACTTCAGTTTGTAACAAAAAATGTACCCCCACTCTAAATTTTGTAACAAATAAGTACCCCAACCTAAGGTCACTGTGATTAATAATCAGAGGTTTTCCTCATAAAACATAATTACATAATACAAAATGACTATATATACATAAGAAGGGTGCTAATATAAGGAAACTAAATCTCCCATATTAATGCCTAAATCACCCATATTAATGGCCAAATCAGAGCCTGCCATATTCTCAGGACTTAACTAAAATACTAATATTATTACTAATAACACTCCCCCTCAAGTTGGAGCATATACATTTATCATGCCCAACTTGTTACATAAATACATAAGCCTGGTGCCATTTAGCGCTTTAGTAAGGAGATCTGCTAATTGATCTCCTGTCTTCACAAATCACAAATCCAGTAGAAATCAATCCCTTCTGTATTTTCTCCCGAACAAAGTGACAATCTACTTCGATGTGTTTCGTCCTTTCGTGAAAAACTGGTTTGGATGCAATATGAAGGGATGGGAGCTTTGAAACCAGTTTCATTTAGGAGGTGATATATCCATATTATTTCACACGCAGCTTGTGCCATGGCTCTAAATTCAGACTCAGCACTATAACGAGAGACAACGTTCTGCTTCTTACTCTTCCACGAAATCAGATTCCCACCCACAAAGACACAATAACCGGAGGTGGACCTACGATCATCCTTCGACCCTGCATAATCTGCATCTGCATAACTTTCAATGTTCATGTGACCGTGATTTGAATAGACAATACCACGACCGGGAGTTCCTTTCAAGTAACACAGAATATGTTCCACTGCAGCCCAATGATCAATTGTTGGGGATGCCATAAACTGACTTACCACGCTAACAGGATAAGCAATGTCTGGGCGGGTCACAACCAAGTAGTTCAGTTTACCCACTAATCT